CGACTGTTGTTTTTATTCAAGTCTTAAGTTGATTATTTGAAACATTGAATAATGTGTAATCAATATGGTGATAAATAAAAGGTGGTTTTATTTATATTCAAAAGGGTTCTGAGACCATATTAGATTCGATTATTATTGTGTTTCACTTTGCATGTTTTGACTTCCAAAATAGCTAGGTTATTCTTTGAATGACTAAGTTATTTAAACACTCCACAGTCGTTCATATGTTGGAAGTAGGTATGAATCAAGACTGTCATGAATCGGGTTTGTAGATGGCTAAATGGGTTTAGTCATGGCAATGGTTGCTACAACATTCATGAGTGCTCATAAGTTATGAGTATTGGAATAAACCCACGCTCACTTGTATCACTTCATGGAATTTATCTCGAGTGATCGTGAGACGGTAATATCATATAAATCTTCAAACCTAGAGATATGAGTTGTTACCTATGAGTTGGTTGTGCATTGATTGCACGTAAACGCATCAGTAACTTGATGTTATAAAACGTGCCTTTGTGTACAATTCAACAAGTAGTAGAACAAGTATATGAGTCGAAGTTTATCTGTTCCTTCTAGAAATAGAAGCGATATCTGGGCCCCTCGATGATTTTGTTGTGACCTATGTACCGGCCGGTTAGAACTGAATTGATGTGTTCGATTAAGTTCTTTGTCAAACAAATCGAAAATCGGGAAACAAACTGCTGGATAATAAGTACGACGTTGTTCCATGTATTTGTCCGGCTGATATCATGAGAACAGAGGATTATATGATCCCTTATCTAATGGACAAGTCATTGACAAGATCAGAGTTCATCTACAAGGTCAGAGTTCGACAGAAGCTTTTGAGAGCTACGATTGCCAGTTGGTTCCTGAAGTCATACGCAATAATAGTTTTAGACTTATCCAAGTGGGAGACTGTTGGATTAATGTCTAAGTCCATAACTATAATTGGTAAGACTTGACCCGACCCGGCATGGTCCATTTGGGTTGCATACCATCATGCACTTAGATAGACTATAATGAGAGAAATAAGACACTTATGGTTATTAATATATTATAAGTTCTAGTATATTAATAATAAGAATAATAAGATTATTTAATTAGTATTGATCAAGAATTAATCTAGATTAATTAAGTGATCAAAAGAAGACTAATTAAATATATGGGTTGATTGTGTAAATCATCCATACTTATATAGTGGGCTAATGCTCCATGGATAATCAAGTTGGGCTAAAACCCATAGGATGGTCCATGGATGCTCCATGGTGTATTTGAACCCATGGATCCAAGGAAATGGAAAGCCATGACAATTAAGGATTTACCCTAATTGTAACACTATATAATGATATTATTCTTGACAAAAATTGGCCACTAGAGAGAGAAACAAAGGGCTAGCCGATTTCATGAAGTGTAGAACTCTCTCAAGTTATTCTAAGTGTTTTGATGATTGTGATTCCATTTGAGGCTTCCACACTATTGGGGCTAGGCACTCAAGCTTCATGAAGACTTTCTACATCAAAGAGGTATGTATTCTATCTTGTTACACTCATTGTTTTGTATGCTAGATTAGGATAATACCTTGGATATTCTTATTGCATGTATAATAGAGAAAACATAGATCCAAGGTATTTAGGGTTGCATGTACACTTAGGAGTGTTAGAATGCTCAAAACCCAACATAAAGACCCAGAGGCTGAGCTTGACATTTACAAATGGGTTCACAAGGTGTATTTTCTAGAGACATGGAAAAAGGCTTATTCTTTTAAGGTGGAGCCAATTAAGGGTAGATCCATATGGCCCAAAAGTGAATGTCCCACAAAGCTAATCCCTCCTCCACATCGCACTCAGGTGGGAAGGCCTAAGAAAAAGAGAAGACAAAGTGAGGGTGAAAGGTTAAGCAAAAAGCAGAAGGCAAGTCAAGGTGATGGAGTGAATGCTGCACAAGAAGGAGGTTCCCAAAAACCAACAAATGATGGAGTGCAGGAGCTATCAAGGAAGCATATCAGTGTTACTTGTAGCAAATGCAAGAACAAGGGACACAACTCTAGGACCTGTAAAGGGCAAGGTGGGAATCAATCCAAGAAGTAATGTGTCATGCATGCATGGAGTTTTCTGTGATTTTGGTTGGTTATGAAAACTTGGTTGTTATGTTTACAATATTTTGTTGAAAATTTTTGGTTGGTTGTTATGAAAACTTGGTTGTTATCTTAGGTATGGTAATGTGTCCCTTTTGGTAATGTTTAGAATCTTTGGTTGTTATGTTTAGAAACTTTGGTTGTTATATTACAAATCTTAATGAAATGTGCATTTTGGTTATGTACAATTGGTTCTAATATATATATTTTGTAACACATTCATACCATTTCTATTCATATGTTAATTCTTATACATTCATACCATTTTGGTAAAACATTCATTACACTTGCATCATAAAATTGTACATATATCATTATCATCATAAGTCACTACAAACTTGATCACATAAAATTACAACAAAATGACCAAAACACCCTTCAGAGTATACCCCTACACAAACCAAATATAAAAGAATACAATCACAAAGAAAAACCAACTTCCAAACATGTACATTTTCAGCTTCAAATTATCATCCTTCAATGCTCTGACATTTGCCACCAAAATGTTGTTCTTGCATATCAGTCCATTGCATTGATCCTGTAGCATGTTCATACCTCTAACCGACTCATTGCACCGTTCCTGCACTGAATTCAAATTTCTTAGCAGACCAGGTATGATGGCTTTAGACCTAGCATACATTGGGGGATCAAGCCACCCGATAAACCCACAAACGGAATCATTCATAGGGCATGCAAAAAATCTCCTTCCTGGATTCAAAGGGGTCCAAGACGTTTTCACCACAACAACTTTTCCACAAAAACATAGCACCATTTTTGTTGTAGCGGAGCTCAAGAAGAAGAAGGGTAGAAGAAAAGAGACGTTGGGGAAGAAGATCGCAGGAAATGGGGGTATTTAAAAGGAATTAATCCAAAAAAACGTTTATGCAAAAATGGTCCCTGACATATGAAATGACGAAATTACCCTCACGTGTGAGGCACGTGAGGGGGGCTTAACAGTTCCAACTTAACGGGAGTTAAGTCCAGGGACCAAAACCACATAGAAACCACTCCAAAAGGACTATGGTTCCAAAAAACTCGTGGTTTGGACTAAAACCCCAAAATTTTGCATACCACAGGGATCATTTTTGCAATTTACTCAATTTAAAAATACTTTATACTTAAATGAAGTGGTCGTAACAACGTTGATGGCTAAGACATTTGTTGGGACTATCTAATCGGGTATTGGAAGTAACATGCTAATAAGTCATATCTATAACGTTTTTTTTTTCAAAACAAATGATATTATGTGAATGTGAATGCTTGATTGTAAAACAATTTAAACATGTTCCTACTTTTTGAACATGTTCATCATTTTCCAAGAAGTTCATCAATATCAAACATGATAATATTGCATGATTTTATGTTTCAAAGTTTTTCAACTAATTTCTAAGATTAATATGTTCATGATTTTCCAAAAAAAAAGTTTTCATACTATAAAAAACAGAGAAAACATACTTTTGTTTGTGCTAAAGAAAAGCAACATGTGATTAAACTTATCCATAGGATTGTCGAAGGAAATTGTTGAAGTCGTGTTTGAGAATGACAACATCACCTTAAACAGAAGGTACCATTTTGAAAATAATAATGTATTTTGGAAAATACCAGCTTCAACATTAACATCCAAGATAGCACCTTCAGAATTTATAAAAAAAAATTCATTTTATTTTCACAATTCATGATCCTATTTTATTATTTTTTAAAAAGATAGTTATTATGTGATGTGAGAATTTTTTATATGGTCAATGCCTTAACGGGGTTATGATTAAACTTTTATCAAACATGCTTTATTTAACACAATTCACATATATTATTTTAGTTTTTAAGTGGAGTTTCCTCTATTAAACAAAATTATATTGGATCTTAATAAATGATAAATTTTAAAGTAGAACAAATACTGTCATAGAATAAATTCTAAGTTCTAGCTACATAGATCAACTTTACAATCATGGAAAATACACAACCAAAATCAACCCAAAATAAAGTTCCATCTTCAAAATGAACACTCAAAGTTAACAATCAACTCTAAATATATTTAATGATACTTATAATCTATATAATATATTTGAATACCATAAAGTCATAAACTTCTTACAAAATAAGAAAAAAATGGCTTAAAAAGGAAATAATATCCCTAATAAACCTCCTATATTCGCAAAAGAGGTGAGGGGTGACAACACATTTAGGACATTTCATTACACCCTACTTGTCTTGCTGTAGTTTCCGACATAACCACCTCCTATACAAAAAGACTCATCCTCGAGTCTTTGTAATCCCCATTGATGTCATATATGTAATCACCTCGATCTTCTTCTCCTCCCATGGGTGTCATAAACAACATTGATGTCACAAACAAGATGCATTCATCAAGATCCCCCAAACACCTTGTTCTCAAGTCTTTTAAAGAATGAAAACGAAAGGATTACCAAAATATTCCACGACATTTCAAATTTCTCTTCTTCAAAACAAAACAAACAACACTATATAGAATGTAAAGCAATAGAAAGAGCATATAGCATGGAGATAACTACAGTTTCTAACACAAGAACTAGCAAGAACAGAGATTAAATCAAGTATATAAGCATAGAGCAAAGTCAAAGGAAACAAATCGATAGTTACTTTGAGAAATCGATCCTCCATTTTTAGATTAAGCAGAATGACAAGAAGAAACATTTGACATCAAGAGAGTTATCAGATTTTATAAGCTTACTTAAGAAATCAAGAACAGCTTGCTCACAACATCATATTCATTCATCAGATAAGGCTCACTTATATATCTTAATGAAGGCTTAACCATGTCAAATGTAAGAGAAGACATTTTTCTGCAGAAAAATATAAAAAAATTGAGACATCAAATAGATGTTCATCCTCAAAGACGAAGCTCTGTGCAGTGAAGGTCATCGCCTATGGGAGAATCATCAACCGGAGGTGGCATGTTTAAATCGAAGGGCAGCATGGTTTTCTGAAACGAAGAAGAAGCAATATCCCCAGCATCTTCTTCATCAACCACAACAGATGAAGAAGAATCGCAGTAATCGCAACAACTATCGGTGGCCGCTGGTTGCTTCTGAGGGTGATGTACACGAGGTAATACAACATCCGCCGTCGTCAGCGGTCTTGGGCCACTGAAAGACTCCACGGTGCTACTCATACCGCTACACGTCGGCCTCTGAGGTACGATAATTTCGTGCTCCGGGGAGTCAAAGAAAGGATGGCGATCGTTAAGGTTTTGTTGATGTTGCGCCGTTGACGCAATCGTGAAGGGGAAATTCGTCTTCGCTTTAGCTCCACGGAGGGTCCGAGCTGCGGCGTCGTAAGCACGAGCAGCATCCTCCGCCGAATCGAAGGTACCAAGCCAAACCCTGGCCTTCTTCAATGGATCTCTAATTTCTGCAACGAATCGACCCCATGGTCTCTTTCTCACCCCTCTAAACCTAATTTCTGTTCCCGATCCCGATCCGACGGTCACCGGAAGTGCCGCCTTAGACGCCGCAGCTCCTCCTTTGCCGCCTCGCATGACCGATCAAATTCTTGGAAATGAAAAGAACAAACAAAAGGGTGTTGACGATGGATGAAGATTACCAAAAAACAGTTGATTGAGACTCTAATCTCTAGATTTCCCCCTTATGTTCTTGTCGATTTCCTGTCTGCGTCTGTGAAACGCAAATCGAGATGGATTTCGCGTGTTGAATCTCTGGTCTTCTGGGGTTAGGGTTTACGTTTGCTTTTTCCTATCGGTCGTGATATGAACCCTAATTTGGAGGTTCTGCCCCCTTTCCCCCTATTCTTGATTTTCAATTAATTTTCCATTTTTAATTATTGTGATTGGAAATAATCGAGGCGTATTCTAAAAGACTAAAATACCCTCGTCTTTGTTTTGAACAAGGGTGGCACCAATAATTGTTTTCTGGTTGCAACAACTTTATCCATTTTACATTAGATACTCTTTAAAAAAAAATCAAAATACCATTGTTTTCGTTAAATTTGTGTGTAAATTGAAGGGAAAAAAATTATAAAGAACTGCAATAAATTTATATTATTTTATGGGTTACGTATTTTTAATTTTTTAGTAATTATATTTTTATAAACTTGTTATCTTATCTAGTACATATTTGTCTAAAATCATCAACAATTAATTTCGTTATTTGTGATGGGATTTTCTAATACGTGCTCTAATGGTATATATAAGAAGTATTAATTAATCACAATTATTATCATAATTAAATGTTAAACACATTAATTATAAGAAAGATTACCATAATTAAATATAAAATTCATTAATAATCTCTATAATTAATGCATTTCACATTTAATTATAATAATAATTATGATTAATTAATATTTCTTATACGTGCCATTGTGATACATATTAGAAAATCCGATTTGTGATTCAGTATTTCACTAAAACAATTTAACTTATATATCCATTCAAAAGGTTATTCTAAGACTTAAGATAAGATTATACACTTTTAGCTAAAGCATATTAAAGCATAAAAGTGATAAGAGATTTACATAACGAACATACATTTACTCCCATATACATACTCCTAATTGTTTCACTTTCGTCATATAATTCACAAATGCTTCAAACATACCTTGATTCTTTGATTTTTCTATCATCAAAATGGAAGTCGTTCGTCTTCACAAAAGCTTTTTACAAATTGTATTTTTATATGCTTGCAAAATTCAACAATTCAAATCACTCACCCTCTTTCTAGAATTTGATTCATGTGAACATTCTTTATGCACATATATGACAATCATATATAAACTTTATCACTCAACATGGATTGCTTTTTTGCAGATAAACGAAATACACTTTTAGTGAAACCATCTTTACCCGCGTATACTTTTTTTTCATACTTGTGAAATAACTCATACGATGAAATATCTTTGACACGTTATTGGGGTAAATCTTTAAAATGTTTTAAATGGATCAACCCCACATGTAAATGCAAATCCATGCCAAAAGAGATTTATGATATCATGCAAACCACATTTTTTTTACCGACAGGTTGTTTAAAGAAACAATGAATTTACCTGCAGTGAAAATTACCAACAATAAAGAATGAGGCATACTACACTTTACTATATTATATACAAAATGAATTACATTGCATTTGTCCGGAAAAGTTAAATCAATAATATTATTGATAGCATGACAGAGTGACACTCCCACTTTTGAATAATAACCCACACCATAATTTTGATCAAAATTCCAAGATGTTGTGAAATGCATGAACATGTAGTGAATATATACATAATGTAATAATGTGATGCGAATATGTATAAAACATGGTAAAAACACATCCAACCCACAGTTATCAATAGCGACCATAGCGGTTGCTATAGCGAATAACGAGGTGTAGTGGCCAACGACCGCTATGGAGCAAATAGCGACAGAAAGCGGCCAATATAGCGACAGGTGTGTGTGTGTGTGTTTTAAATAAAAAGCTGAATAAACGTATTAGGGTTGAGTTGGCGACTTACGCTAACTTAAAATCAATAGTCGTTCGCTACTTCGCCTCCCCCCTCTATGCTTTGGACTTCCGCTACCTCCAAATCCTTGCGACCACCTCCAACGAACCCCACCAGCGAACCCCTTCATTATTCTGGCGAGTCGGCGATTTCTCTAGCTTCGAGCAACGTTTTCTCCGACGACTTCAGGTCCGATTGGAAGATTTTGCAATTTTTTTTCTTTTCTGTTTTCAATTGGTTTTGTTGTTAGACTTAGTATTACTTTGGTTTGATGATTAGGCTTAGTATTACACTTCTAATTCATGTTTTGATCACTGCTACTTTCTTAAAAATGGTTAATAAAAGGGAAACTGATCCTGGATGGGCTTATGGGACAAAGGTTGAAGGAAATAACCAATGTGTGCAATGTAATTTCTATTCTTTTGTGTTAAGAGGGGGGATTACAAGGCACAAGCACCATCTTGCTGGTGACACCGTCACGTAGCAAAGTGTTCAAAAGTCCTAGCTGAGGTAAAAGCTTTCTATAAAGAAGCTTTTGATAAGAAGAAACAAGCAAAAGAGGCAATGAATAACATACCACACTTTGATGATGTTGTGGATCTAGATGAAGAAGTAGATGATGATGAATTGAACACTCAAAAGAGGCATTGCCCTATTTCATCTTTCGGATCAACCGCAACTAATAAAAACACTAAAGGGCCTATGCATGCGTATTACAACCAATCTGAAACAGGGGGTAAGAAAAATGGGCGTTTGGTTGGAACTCCACAACATAAAGATGTCCAAAAAAGTTTAAGAGCAGATGCGGTCCAAAAGTTTTTACGTTGGATGTATGATGCAGGTGTGGCATTCAATGCTGTGACATACGATAGTGTAGGGCCCGCAATTGAAGCGATAGCTAGACATGGTTGCGGTATGAAACCACCTAGCTATCATGAGGTCCAAGTCCCGATGTTGAAGCTTGAAAATATGCACACTAAGAAAATTATGTGTGAAAATGAGGCTAAAAAAACAACATATAGATGTTCCTTAATGGCAGATGGATGGAGGGACAGAAAAGGAAGTGCACTCATAAATTTCTTAGTGAACACTCCCCGGGGAAGTATGTTCCTTGAATCGGTTGGTGCATCTAGTTATTCACATACCGGTGATAACATGTTCATTTTATTTGACAGTTTCATAAAACAAGTCGGCCCGCGTGATGTTGTTCAAGTTGTCATAGATAGTGCTAGCAACAATGTTTTTGCTGGCAAGCTTGTGGAAGAGAAATACCCGTACATCTATTGGACTCCTTGTACAACGCATTGCATAGATTTGATATTTGAGGACATCTTCAAATTGCCACATTTAAAAAGGACACTTGATAAGGCAATCACGGTGAACACGTATATTTACAATCGTACTTTGCTACTTAATATGATGAGAGAGTTCACTGGGCAAAAGGACATGGTGAGGCTCGTAAAGACTCGATTTGCCACAACTTTCATCACCCTAAATTGTTTTAAGGCTAACAAGAGGAATTTTAAAAAAAAAATGTTCACTTCTGAACAATGGAACAGAAGCAAGTTTTCAAAGTTGGATGGAGGCACGCACACGGCAAATACTATATTGACGCCTAACTTTTGGAACAATATAGATATTGCAGTAAAAATTGGTTGTCTGTTGTTAAGTGTGCTTCGGTTAGTTGATGGAGAGAGAAAGCCTCCAATGGGTTACATATATGAGGCGATGGATAGAGCAAAAGAGGCGATTGCTGATGCTTTCAAAAACAAAGAAGATAAGTATGCAAAAGTCTTCAAAATCAGTGATAGGAGGTGGAATTGCCAATTGCATCAACCTTTGCATGCTGCTGAGTATTACTTGAATCTGGCCCTGTATTATGAAAATCCGAATGTGGAAAATGATGATGAAGTGATGAGTGGATTAATGTCGTGTATTCATAAATTAGCATTGAATGAGGACGAGGAGATGAAGATTCATGCCGAGCTTCCAATATACCGAAGTGCACAATGGATCTTCGGGAACCCGATAGTGAAGAAAATGAGAGTAAAAATTGCACCAGGTAAATAATATAAAAATAATATACTGCGTATAATTATAAATTTTAACATATCTTTAATTCTTTATATTAGTTTGTTACTAAATTAGCGGAGTGGTGGATGCAATATGGAGCATCAACCCCGGCATTAAAAAAGTTTGCGGTCAAGGTGCTAAGTCTTACTTGTAGCTCATCAGGTTGTGAGAGGAATTGGAGCGTATTTGAACATGCAAGTAACTCGGTTTTTTTGAGTTTAAGTATAGATATACTTTGTATTGTATGATTATAATTTTTAACTTACTTTTATGTAGTTACATTCTAAGAAAAGAAACCGGCTAGAGCAACAAAAGTTAAATGACCTTGTTTATATCAAGTATAACCGGGCTTTAAGAAGGAGGTACAATATGCGTGATACGATTGACCCAATTATATTGGACGATGCAAATGTTATAGATCCAACTGAGTGGCTGATGGGAGGCGAAGAAGAGGAGGAAGATGCCCCGGTCTTCGAGGGTGAGAATTTAACATGGGGTCAAGTTGCAGATGCTGTTGGGGCATGTGAGCAACCTTATTCTACAAAAAGTAGGAATAGGGGGGCTGTTGACAAGTCCGCATCGAGCTCCAGAGGAAGATGTTTAATAGACGAGGATGATGAAAATAACTTGGGTGAAGAAGAAAATGATGTAGTTGCTTATGAAATTTTTGAGCCATCATCTATTCAAGATGATGATGATGAGCTTGTCTATGAAGATCTAGATGATCTTTGATTTGGGTTTTTGAGTTTAGACTTTAGACTTGCCTTTTGTTATTTATGTTTAAAAACTAACTTGGTTAAGTTATTTATCTAGTTTAATGGTTTGTTTGCTTATTTATTGGTTATAATAGCTATAATAGTTACATAATATATATTTTTAATATTTGTATACCTATCGCTAAATACGAAATAGCGGTCGCTATTTACCGATATTCGCTACGTAGCTTATAGGTGTCCCATCGCTATATACCGCTATTCGCTATCGATAACTATGATCCAACCTAAGCACATCCAACTTGTTGTACAATGCTTCGTATACTTAACCGTTCGAACATTTGGAAAATCTTCTGGACAGCTTAAAATCATCACATGCTAGACACTTTTCGACTACTTTATGTATCTATTATTTGAGTTTTGTGATTCAAACCAAATTTGCAACTTGAAGTTGCAAATTTTCACTGAAATGTCCACTTGGTATAGCTACTTGCAGCCAAATAGCCATTTTCTTTAGTGATTTCTTTGAAGACAAAGCTTATGTTACTCAATTTTGGTCACTTGTAAGTGATTTATAACCTATATTTTTTTTTCTTTTTTGAATGCTTAATTAATAATACAAGTCGTGTTTGTTTCTCCCCATGGATGTAGACCATATCCTGATGGTGAAACTATAACGACCAAACCCAAAACATTTAATTAAATTAGCTTTCTAGAATATTCTTGTTAGATAAAGGTTGTTGTTTCTTAAGATAATTCCTTATGTAGCTCCTAGTATTTTTTTCCTTACCTTGTATAGTTCTTAGTTATTTAAGTGTCATGTATCTCTCTGTAAAAACACACATTACAAATTAATATTATTGTTCTCTAATTCACCTTTTATTGGTATTCGAGCCGTTTACCTCAAACAAGTCGATCCTTACCACCAACCTTCCAATCGACTGTTAATGGCAAGCAAACCACAATTGATTCAACACACTCCCTCAACCCACTTTCCAATCTATAACACCCGGGTTCTGATTGTGTTTTCCATTTTTTGGTTGGTGGTTTTTAAGTCCAAGGAAAAGTAGAATCAATGAACAAAGTAGGAGACACGAATGAAATAATCACCATTTTTCAGGATTTAGCATGGAGACATGGGGTGCCTCTGTTTATTTAGGTGCAACTATTTTGTCGTATACAAATGTGGGGCGCCCATGCCCATGGGTTGGTGTCATTTTCTTGGGATTTAGGACTATTTAAGTGCATGAATCCCTAGAGTTTTGTCATTTTTAGCATCACCTCCCCAAGAACACCTCTAATGAAACCCTAACATTCATTGAAGTGTTTAGAGCTCATCCTTTCTCCTAAATCCAATTAATACTCTTTTGGCAATCCTTTGGTGATCTAAGTGAAGGAATCAAGAAAGATTGTTCAAGGAAGCTTTTTATTTGAAGTGATCAGCCTTTTTATCATTTCTGGACCTTAGTAAGTCATAACGATCCAAGCTTTATTGTATTTCATCCATGGATCTAGGAGTTAGTGGTATTATTGGTTCATTTTGATGGGTTTTAGTCCCTTTGTGGCTTGTTCCGTTGGAGTTTAAAGGACTCCATGAGGTTAGTTTAGATTTGATCATTTGGTGGAGTAAAGATTGCATATAAGAACTCTATTTACTCCATACATGAAGAATAGTGAGTTTTTGGAGATTTCATAATTTAAGGTTTTAGATCTTAGTTTTTTGGAATGTCTCAAATGGTAAAGTTGGAAACTTTATCCATTAAGACATTAATGAGAATCAGATATGACAGTTGGAGTCTTTGACTTAATGGTTTTAGTCGAAAATAAACATGAGATATGCTAGGGCACGACACACCTTCTGGAGGCGGTGGTGTGCCTCTGAGTTTTTTTTGTTTTGTGTTGGATTTATCTGGCAAGTCGACTATTTTTCCTTTAGTGGGCGTGGGGTGGCCTAGAAGGGAGCGTTGGGTGCCTTTTAACCAACATGTTGACTTTTTGACTTAGACTAATTTGATATTGGGTCAGACTTTAGGGTTTTGGGTTAGAGACTGAGGTTTGACCCTTATTTGGTGTCAAGGTGGTACATGAGACCGACCTTGCTAATATTCATTTGCGGTTGTGATTATCTAGATTTTTTGACATGTGAATCTTCTCACTATACTATATAGGACACTAGGTGTCATAGTATGATAGATTGTCTTTGTGACTTTTGCATGAAAGACTATGGTGGTACCATAACACTTATATGAAAGACTACGATGGTACCATAACACTTATATAAAAGACTATGGTGGTACAATAGCACTTGTATGAAATACTATGATGGAACCATAGCAATTACATGAAAGACTATTGTGGGATCATAGTAGGAAAGACTGTAATGGTACTATAGCAATGAAAGTACGTGTAAGACTATGATGGTATCATAACATTCACATTGGTATGTGGTATTTTGGGGAACTCACTAAGCTTTGTGCTTATTGGTTTAAGTTTAAAATGTTTCAGGTTGTTTTGGAGACAAAAGAAAGGGCGCACCTTAATTGCATTGCATCTATTGCTATATTTTTTGGAGGCTTCCATATATTTGATTTTAATATTTTATGACTATAGTTTTTATTATGGTTTATCAAACTTAAACAAGTGGTTTTTTTCAATCTCGAGAATGAGATTGGAATGACTATCTTTGAATTAAAAATAAAAGATGGTTTGAAATCTAGGACGTTACAAGTTGGTATCAGAGCCTTAGTTTGAGGGATTCAGACTAACTTTGGGTCCATCTAAACTCAACCTAAGGATTAGGAGATTTTTGGAAATTGTTTTTCTAAAAAGTTTATTTAAAAGAGAAAAAGGATGCGATGAGTGCAATCAGACAAAGATCAAGTAAGTAATTCCCATAATATCTATACATGTTTGATATGTTGGTTATGCTATAATTGTTGCATTAGTGTCTAAGCCCATAACAATATTTGGTATGTACTTGACCCGGTTGTGCATGGTCCTTTTAGGTTGCCTTCACCAAAGCAACGGGATAAGATGACTTGTGGAGAGAAAGAGAGAGAGAGAGAGAGAGAGAGTAAGAGAGAGAGGTTATTATGGTTTATTAATATAGTATATGAATATTATATTAAAAGAGAAATCATATAGTTTAACTAATATTGATCAAGAATTAATTAAGAATTAATTTTGTGGCTAAAAAGATTAGTTAAATAAGGGGGACTGGAACTATCAATTATAAGATAATTGAGTTTGGGCTGTGATTCCTTATGGATATAAGGGGGGACGAATTTTAGATTGAAATCCCACTCTAATTTTGTCCATGGGGCCTTATTCCAGAAGGTTCTTGAAGCTGCTTAAGGCCTAAGTCATCCAATTAGGGTTTTGACTGAAACCCTAGCAACCCAACTATTTAAGGGACCCCAGGGCTAAAGATTCCGGCTACCCAAGAAACCCTAGAGTTACTATAGCTGAAATTGTGCCTCTCTCCTTCTCTATTCTAAATCATCTTCTTGCCTTGGTGTTTGTAAGCCATTAGAGGTAGTACACTTATGATACTAAGCTCTTGAAGATTGAAGATTCTTGTAACTAATGAAAGGTATCATCTAAACTTCTTTTATTATAGAGCTCGTTTTTCATAGTATGCTAGATTAGGGTTTGCAAGCGTTGGATAAATTTGCATGTAAAATAGAGAAACCTAGATCCAAAGCTTTAGGGTTTTGCATGTGCACATAGGATGTTCTTTTAATCAAAACCCATCAGTGGTATCAAAGCCTTGCTTGGTTTCTATTGTATTTAATACATGGTGTATTTGTTCATTACTAAAAACTGATTTTTGTGCTATCTTCTTGACAGACTCATCGAGCCCTATGAGATACTCGACGAGTAGGATGAACTCGTCGAGTCCTGTAAGGGGCTCAGCAAGTTGGGCTGTCAGACAGAGGGATATTCAGGATTTTTGCTAGTTTTGACTTTGGATAATTACCATAACTGTTTCTAATTGATAAAATACGAATTTTATTGATTCCTTATGATTATCGTTGTCAAAATAAAAGATTTTTGTCATTTAATTTGATAATTATTTCCTTATTTGATAAATATTAATTATTTGAATTATTTGATCATTATCTTGCATGAAAATGGATTAGGTCAAAATTAGATAATCACCAAAATTAATTGTTTAATTGTTTATTTGAATTTTGATCTAGATAGTTTTGAAATGTTTCAAAACTTTCCCTCAAGTTTTGGAATTTCAATTTTTGATTAAAAGTTTAATTTTGAAATAATTAAATTCCAAAACCTAGAATTTTACAAGTTTAAAATTCACCCTATACTATTATAATATTATAAGAATAACTATTATATATGTATAAGATAAATGCTAGTCTTACCGTTAGTAGGCCTAATTCACGAAGCCGATGTGTAAGGGGGGTATAAGGTTGCTACCTATAAAATGACAGTTTAATGGGTGTCCACTCTCACCCACCGCTTCCTTGATTGGTGGAGGGTCGTTAGTCGAACGGGTAGTTGGGCAACTAATTTCTCATTAAAAGTATAATGATTAATAAAGTAACTAAATGTTTTTATAAAAAATTCCCAATCTTAGTTTCTTTAGGAAAAATGTGAAAATGATGTTATTCCATGAAATTACACTTTGTACCCTTACCTAGACGTTAATGGAGCATGTGTGGTTAACCGGCACACTAATTTGAGTCTAAGCATAGGTGGCAAAGGGTGACTTGATGTTTGTCATAGATCAATGGAGTGTGTGTGGTTAACCGGCACATTGATTAGGTGACTGTAACATTAAGGGCATCATGTACGTTTACATGGTTATTCACACCCTGTTTGTGATCCTCGGTATCCTAATCACAAACTTGAGGGGCATATCGAGATTTAAACATGCCATTGAAAAGTTCAATAAATCTCAAAGGATCTAGAAGTTTCAATATATTTAAAACTTAATTGCTTTTGTTTTTCATGGTGGGAATTAGTGAATCATCATTCACTTACCTTCAAATTATT